ACTGCCATCCCACAGCCACGGCACACCCGCCACAGCTGCCATCCCACAGCCATGGCACACCCACAACAGCCACGGCACACCCATCACAGCTGCTGAACCAATACTTTCTAGTCCAAGTCCAGCCTTCCCATAGGGCTTCTTTCTCTTTTCTTGTCATGTATTCTGTGGGCTTTGATGAATGTGTGGTGACTTGTACCCTCCATTTTATAATATCACAAAGAATAGCTTCACTGACCCAAAGTCCCCTGTGTTCCCTGAGAGAGCGGCCTTTCACCATCTCTGTAGTTTTGTGTCTTCCAGAACATTGCCATTTTGTGATCAGCTGACACAACCACTTCACACAGCTGATTTCACTGAGCAATGTGTGTTTTTCAGGCCTGTGTCCTGGTGTCAGAATAGTACATTTCTTTGTTGGGACTGGCGTCCATATTCTGGCTGTGACACAGCCTGTGCATTCCTCTACCAGGCACAGGCTAAGACCTCCAGTGAGACCCATAACCCTCGCAGGTCAAGAACCTACCTTGTGTCTCCCCAGGAGGGTGACAGTGGGTGTCCCCCCCAAGACTTGTAACTGTGAAAATGGGTTTATGAATAAAGGAGACTTGAACAAACCATCTCAGAGATCTGCCCCCTTTCCTCACTGAGATCATTTTTTCTTCTCTTGCCTGTGGTGGAATATTAGCTTAAGATGCACTATATTCATTTATGCTGTGGAACATTTATTTAATGATGTTAATATGTGTTGCATTCTTTTATGTTGCATTTGTTTAACTCTGTGAAGCTGTGTTACTTTGTCTGCCTAAAACACGTCTAATTAGGAGTTGAATGGCCAAGTAAGTGGGATTGGCAGGCAGAGAGACTAAATAAGAGGAGAAATCTAGGGGAAAGGATGAAAAGTGGGGAAAGGAGGAGAGGAGGACACCAGGGGCTAGTCACCCAGCCAGCCACGGAGTAAGAAGGAAAGAAAGATACATAGAATAAAGAAAGGTAAAAAGTCTAGAGGCAAAACGTGGTTAAAGAGAAACAGGATGATTTAAGTTAGAAAAGCTGGCTAGAAACAAGACAAGCTAAAATCAGGTATTCAGAGGAAAAATAAGTCTCTATGTATTTATTTGGAAGCTTGGTGGTGGGCCCCCAAAGAGTAAAAAGAGATCTACCCTTGCCCCTGAGATAATAGGCTTCTTGATGTCTTCTTGAGGGGGGGTTGGATGCTGGGTAGAAAAGACTCTGTTGAGCATGAGGATGGACCCTTTGGGGGTGTGGGGGGATTAGGAGTCCTGGAAGATCCCTCAAAAATGCCCCCCACAGCATGACAAAGAGAAAGTTGCGGTCAGAGGGGAATTTCATTGTGGCTCCTTGGTGGTGGGACCAGTCTGAGTGACTCTGGGCTGAGTTAACAGCTGTCCCCAATCACAGAGCGGTGTGGGTTTCAGAATCTCACGTCTGTCACCACCGTACCACCTCTTCAGGGTCCAAAGGAGATACTGCACCTGTTTACGGGGGGGGGGGGGGGGGGAATGAGGCCTCTCTGTGCACCTGTGCCCACTCGTGTGCGAATGAGCCTGTTCCCATGTCAGAGTGCAGGTGCAGCCAGAGGACAACCTTGGGGTTGGTCTTCAGCGCCCACCCTATTTGGGGAATCTCTATGTTGTTTTCACTATATACACGCCTGCCTAAGCAGCCTGAGAGCTTCTGGGAATCCTGGTGTCTCTGCCTCCCTCATCCATAAGTATGACTGAACCTCAGACATTCCTGATACGTGTCCTGCTTTGCTTGGGTTCTAGGGAATCAAATTCGGGCCCTCACCATTGCGCAGCAAGTATATTTTACCCAGTGAGCCATCTCCCCAGCCTAAGCCTGAGACCTTGAGAAGTTGGACAGCATTGGAAAGGCAAGGGAGCTACAAAGAAAATTAGGACCTGGGAGACTGACCCCCAGGCAGCCAGCTCAGGATAATCCTGCCATTTGCATCTCAAGGGATGGATCAGGAAGGCTGCTGGCCTGAGTAACCTATACATGTTCAGAACTTAGAAGCTGGTCTTGGACCACCTGAGTATTCGCCTGGCATTGGCAAGCTGGGCCAACTCCAGATGCAGAGTAAATGAGGCACTGGAGGAGTGGAGAGAGCAGCCTGCAGGAAACAGGACTTAAGCCATGGTTTGACTGTATCAGCTTGGATGATGGAAACAAGACTTAAGGAAGCAGGGTGGACGAGACGACCCAGAGTAAAAGTGCAGGCCTGACAGCCTGAGTTTTTACCTTGGAGCCCCAGTGGGAGAAGAGAGCTGACTCTGAAAAGTTGTCCTCAGACCGCCACACGCTTGTGCTCCCGGTGGGTTTTAAGAGCTGTCTAGCGTAACTGTCAACAGAGAGCCTTCCTCCAGCATCTGACGGAAGCAGTGCAGAGACCCACAGCCAGATGTTAGCTGGAGCTCAGGAATCCTTTGAAAAGTGGGGAGAAAGGATTGTAGGAGCCAGCAGGGTCGAGGACACCACGAGAAGAGGGCTCCTAGAATCAACTAAGCCGGGCTCTTAGGGCTCACAGAGATTCCGCCAGCGATGAGGGAGCCTGCACGGGTCTGTGCTAAATCCTCTGCTTGTATGTTATGGTTGTGCAGCTTGGTGCCCTTGAGGGACTCCTCACGGTAGGAACGGGGGTGTCTCTGACTCTTTCAGCTGCTTTTGGGACCCTTTTCTTCCTCCTGGGTTGCCTCACCCAGCTTTGATAAGAGGGAGGTGCCCAGTCTGGCTGTAACTTGTTATACCATGTTTGCTGATAACCCTGGGAGGCCTGCTCTTTCTGAAGGAAAACAGGCAGAGTGGATCTGCGGGAGAGGGAAGGTAGAGAGGAGAGACGGGAGGAGAAGAGGGAGGGGAAATAGCAGTCAGTCAGGATATAGTATATGAAAGAAGAATAAAATAATAATAAGTAAAAAGATTTCATCTATTTTATGTGTACACGTGTTTTGCCTGCATATATGTCTGTGTATCACATGCATGCAGTTCCTGAAGAGGCCAGAAGAGGGCACTGAATCCCCAGAACTGGAGTTACAGGTGGTTGTGAGCTGCCACATAGGTGCTGAGAATCCAACCCAGATCCTCCGGAAGAGCAGCCAGTGCTCTTGACCACTAGGTCATCTCTGCAGCCGTTCCTAGTGATCTCAATTGACTCAATCACAACATTCAACACAACAAATATATTAAATTCCAGGAATTATTTTCAGAGACTACTAAAATATTTTTTTCATGTGTATATGTATGTACATGTATGTGTGTTCCCATGTGAGGGAAAATATGAGTTCACATACTTGTGTGTGTAGAGACCTGGAACTGTGTGTGTTGGGGTGGGGTGAGCTGCTAGACACAGGTACTGGGAATAGAGCTCTGGGCCTCTGGAGGAGCAGGAGGTGCCTTAGCCCCCGAGATTTCTTTAAAATCCATGTTTTATAACTAATCCAGAAGTGGCATGTGGACAGACCACAGGCTGGCGAGGCGCATAGTCTGTGATAGTTTCAAGAATTAGCTGGGCCATGTTTAAATATATATGGCTGGCCTTCTCATCCCCATGCGACTAATGACTTTGAACCTCTACCTCCCAGATGTGGGTGTTCCAGGTGTGCACCACCACACCTGGTCTGCAAAGTGCTGGGGTCACACCCAGTGCCTTGTGCAGGCGAGGTGAGCACTCTTATCAACCAAGTCGCATCCCAGCCCCTCAAAGTGCGTCTCAATGCCATCACATAGCCGATGTGGCAGTTGTCGCTCCGTCCAGCTGACATGTGCTCTGTCTCTGTGCTTTTGGACAGTTTCCACTCCGTCCCGCTGACATGCGCTCTGTGTGCTTTTGGAAGCTGTTTGTTGCTCCGTCCTGCTGACATGTGCTCTGTCTGTGTGTTTTTGGAAACTGGTTGTCGCTCTGTCCTGCTGACATGCACTCTATGTGCTTTTAGAAGCTGGTTTTGGCTCTGTCCCACTAACATGCACTCTGTGTGCTTTGGAAGCTGGTTTTCGCTCCCTTCCGCTGACATGCGCATTGTGTGCTTTCGGAAACTGGGCCGCCACAGCAGGAAGCCTCCTCTGCACCTGAGCTCGCCCTCTCAGGGTCAGCCATTGCCATCCATGTGTTCTCTGTAGCTATTGCTCTCTCTCCAGAGGGGTCTGTCCCAGCAGGTTGGTGGTCCTTTTTAACCGTCTGGTCTGCCCCAGCTCTCTAAAAGCAGCTGCTGCAGGCTGAGGGCCTCCCATGGCTCGGGCATAGGTAGGTATAGGCAGGCTGGCATCTGAAGTTGCAGTGCTCAGTAAGCAGCTTCTGGGGAAACACTAGCATGTAATCGCCTCTCATTACCAGGCAGCTGGCATGAGCTGGACCCCATTAGTTTCACCACTACTCCTAGGATGAACTCTCTAGGAACATGCTTTGCCTGGTGGCCCGAGAGCTCTGCCCTGTGAGCTCACCCATGCTGGTGGGATGACCCAATCTTTACTTTTAGGGAACTGTCATTGCCACTGGGTAGAAAGACAAGAATCAGCCTCACTTCACTTCAAAGGTGACCTTGTTTCAAAGAGGGCAAGTGACGTTTGGAGCCAGATTACGGGAAAGTCCTGGGTTCTTCGAGGGAGAACACAGTAGTGTCGCAACACACGCAACACGGTTCAGGGACTGAGGTGTGGTTCAGGTGCCGAGTGCTTGCGTAACATGCACAAGTCCCAGGTTTGGTCCCCAGCACCACATAGACCAGGTGTGGCAGTGCACACCTGTAGTCTAGCACACGGACAGTGTAGGGAAGATTATCAGATGTTCAGGGACTACACTGTCATCATTGAGGGCAGCCTGGGATGCATGGGACTTTGTCATTTTGGGGAATGCTAAGCGTGTGAACAGTACTGTTGCCTGAGTTTTGAGTGAACCACCCAGGGGCGAATGCCCACTGGTAGTGCCAAAGTGAGTTCAATGACCTTGTCCTTGGTTCTGAGTTGGGCACCTCCCGGGGTCTTCTCAGGCACCCCTTGGCCACCTTCTTCCACCTGTTCTTCCGCGTGAGTGCCATCATCACCTATGTGTGCTGTGACTGGTTCAGCAGGAGCTTCGTTGGCTGCTTTGTCACTGTGCTTCTCCTGCTGTCCTTTGACTTCTGGTCTGTGAAGGTAAGGCTCCTTCTAGGGACACGTGGGCTTTGCTTCCAGATGGTGATGTGGGACCCAGGGGTGCTTTGGTTTAAATTGCTGCTACATACTGAAGACCACCGAGGGGCCATCAAGATGGCACAGCAGGTAAAGGGAGCTTGCTGTCAAGCTTGGATCCAAGTATGACCCTAGGAATCCACACGGTTCAAGGAAAGAACCAATCCCCAAAGGTTGTTCTTTGACCTCCACGTTTGCTGTGGCACATGAGAGCCCTTCTCCTCCACACAAAATTAATGTTTAAAATTTTTTAAGGATTACTGAGCCCATGTCACTCACAATAGATAGCAAAAATGCTTCAGAAAACAGTTTCCAGGATCAGATGTCACAGGTGCACAAATGCACCATGGAGGTGACCATCCCATATGGCCTTGGTACAAATTTTATAATATATATACACACACACACACATTAAAACGTATAATGTAACCATCTGTTTTATTTTGAGGCAGAGTCCTTTTTTTTGAGGCAGCATCTCACTATGTAACCCTGGCTAAATCCAACTCACGGAGATCTGCCTGCCTCTGCCTCCTGAGGACTGGGGTTTAAGGCGTGCACTGTCTGCCATACCTGGCCAGAATCCCACTTTTCAAAATGAGAAGGGTCAGTGTAGTGGTACACATCTTTAAAACCAGCACTCAGTGGGTGGGAGGGCAGGGGTAGGTGGGCAGAGGCAGGTGAATCTCTGTGCATTTGAGGTCAGCCTGGTCTACCTACTAAGTTCTGGGCCAACCAGTGAGACCTTGTCTCAAAAACAAAAAAAGTAAGCTTAAAGACAAAAAGTCTGGAAAGCTCTCTGGAGGAATAATTACAATACAACATCCATCCTTTGCCCACTTTTTTTTTCATGCGAGCATGCACACATATGTTATAATGTACATGTGGTCAGAAGACAACCTGCAGAAGTCAGTTCTCTCCCCCCACCATATAGGTCCTAGGGAATTGAACTTGGGTCATCAGGCTCGGCAGAAGCATCTTCACCCACCGTTATCTTACCAACCCCACACCCTTACCCTTCTCTTACGCCTTCTGTAGTTTACAACAAGCATTAGTCAGGTGCACTGGCACACAACCAATATCACCGCTCAGGAAGCTGAGGCAGGAGGCTTGAGAGTTCAAAGCTAGCCTGGGCTACATAGGGAGACCATTACAGAAACTATGAGCTATCTTGTTTCTTATGTGCTCACAGCCCTTTGCCCACTTTCCTCAGAATGTAACCGGAAGACTCATGGTGGGTCTTCGATGGTGGAACCAGATAGACGAGGACGGGAAAAGCCACTGGATATTTGAAGCCAGAAAGGTATGTTCTGAGACAAGACAAACAAGAACTGGGGTAAGGCTGTGTGAAGTTTACACAGGTTCCCTGAGTTCTGTGTGTGCCAGACCAGACCCTGCCCCACACAAATTCTCTTCAAAATTCACACGGCAACAGTATGCAGTAAACGAGCAGAAACAAGTTTTTGCTTGAGAAAGCACAGCGGCTGTCCCCAACAGGCCTCTCCAAACCACATGGCCGCCACTGAAGCGGAGGCGCGCATCTTCTGGCTCGGCCTCATCATCTGCCCCGTGGTCTGGACCGTGTTCTTCTTCAGCACCTTGTTCTCCTTGAAGCTCAAGTGGCTGGTAAGATGCACTCCGATCCCCTGCTGCTGTGACAAACCAGGGGCTAGAAGGGTCTGACTCGGCAGTCACTCTAACAGCCATTCGAAGGGTATATTCTGGCTGTTGTCAGTTTTGCATTTATATAAATATCACGACCAATCATAGGATTTTTAGAAGAGATTTTATGATTGTGTTGTGTGTGACTGCATGAGGTATGTGCAGCAAATGCAGATGTCCTTGGAGGCCCAAAGAGGGCATGGGCTCCCCTGGAGCTACAGTTACAAGTTGTAAGCTGCTGGCTGGCGTGTTGGGCTCCAGACCCAGGTCCTCTGTGAGAACAGTTAAGTTCACTTAGTCCATGAGCCAGCTCTCCAGCCCATTTTAGAATTTTCATCACCCCCACTCAAAAGATAGAGTGAGGGCTATCACTTGGTAGATAGCCCTCTCTGCCCACCCCTGGCACCCACCTTCCTAGATAACTTGCCTGTGAGATTATACAATATTTGTTCTTTTCCAAAGTGGCGTCTTTGATTTAGCACACGTTCAGGCCAACCATAGTCTAGTGTATATCAGTACACCATTTCTTTGCATGGTTAAACACTATTCCATGGTATGACTATACCACATTCAGTTTCATTCATTAGCAGATAGGGAATGATGCTGATATGAAATTGTTTCTGAGGTACTGGGGAGGAAACCCGGGGCTGTGTACATGCTAGGCAAGCGCTCCATTGAGCTACATCTTCAGCCCCCAGGAAGGAGATTTATTAAAAAGTATGGTATCCGTTAACAGACCATCTTTCTTGGGTGGGAAGGCAGACAGTACTCAGGTTTTATTTGGGAGGGCTGTCTATTCAACAGGGACACAGGACACAGTAGAAGCAACTACTGTGGGCTTCACAGTTTGGCTTCTGCCTCCACCTCAGCAGCTCCATGGCTCTGGGCAGCTTCTGCCTCTCAGCTTGTCTCCTCTGTGTGAACCACAGAGGTTCCAGCCTCTGGGTTGCTTAGGTGTCCGTGAGTGTTCGCTTGGGGCAGTCCACAAAGTCCCACTCAGTCAGCACCCTCAGCAGGCTTCCCTTTGCTCTGCCCAATGCAGGCTCTCGTGATTGCTGGGATTTCCCTTCAAGGTGCCAACCTCTACGGCTACATCCTTTGTAAGATGGGGGGCGAGGGTGACATCAGCACAGTCGCAGCCAGCTTTCTGTCCCAGACAGTGTTCCAGACGGTGAGTGGCCAAGTTCCTCCCTGGATCCTTCCTCCCAGGTGCTCAGAGTAAAGGGCACTTGTTGGCAACCTTTAGTTTCTAACAGTCTTCCTACCAGCCAGCTAACCATTATTTTCTATTGTGTATATCTAAAATCTACCATGTTGACTATTTCCAGTGTATAGTTTTAACTGGGCATGATGGTGCACATCTTTAATCATAGTTCTCTGGAAGCAGAGGCAGGTGGATCTCTGAGTTTGAGGTCAGCCTGGTCTACATGAGTTTCAGCACAGCCAGGGCTACAAAGTGAGATCCTGTCTCAATAGATAAGTAAACAAATAAGAAGCACATTAGGTTAATTAGTTCTAGGGACAGCACTAAGCTAAGCAGATGCCACAGTCTAGCTCCGGACTCTTCCCACCTCCAACAGTAGCCCTGACCTTTAGACACCAGTTCCCCATCGTCCCCAGCTGCGGGCCACCCACCATCCTGTAAGGGACTGACAGCTCCTATCAGCAGAGTCAGGGTTTGACACTGTGTGACTATGTGTAGTTTTAAGTGATATTTAAAACTACAGAATTGGGGGCTAGAGAGATGGCTCAGTTCAGAGCACAAAGTTTTTGCAGAGGACCCAGACTAGGTTCCCAGCACCCACATGGTGGCTCGGTCATCTGTAACTCCAGTTCCAGGGACTCTGACACCCTCTTCTGATTTCCACAGGCACCAAGCACACACATTAACATATGTATACATTCATTAAGGAAAAACACTCACACCCATACCCATAAAATTAAATAAAACAAAACCTACAGAATTGGCCAGGGAAATGGTTCGGTGGATAAAAGAACTGAACGTGTAGACCTGACAACCTAAATTCAATCCCAAGAATCCACAGAAGCCAGATGTGGTGGTTGTGCATCTATAATCATGGGGTCAGAAAGGAGATACAAAAGGTCATGGGCAACTAGCCTGGAGTACAGTGCAGACAGGTGAGAGACCCTGCCTCAAAAACAAGGCAGACAGAAAAGTTAACTCCACAGGTGCATCATGGAATGCGCATGCCTGCACATAACTACATAAACACACACACGCACACACACACCCCAAATCAAGACAAAAACCACACAGAATTAAGAATGACAAAGTCTTCTATTTTATTTTGAAGCCAGGAAATATTTCCTTTTTAAAAAATAAGTTATTTTTATTTTATGTGCATTGGTGTTTCACCTGCATGCATGTCTGTGTGAGGGTGTCAGACAGTGGTGAGCTGTCATGTAGGACCCGGGAATTGAACCCAGGTTACCAGGATGAGCAGTCAGTGCTCCTAACTGCTGAGCTATCTCTCTAGCCATGGAAATATTTCTTGAAGGGAGGGATAAAGGAGTTTTTGGTCTGACAGGTTCACTGTGCACAGGTTCAAATGCTGCTGCTGTGGCATTGGGTCCCTGGCAGTGAGCTGGGGCAGTCATGGTTCTTCTTGCCTTGCAGGCTTCCCCAGGTGACTTTGAGAAGCCCAGGCTTGAAGGACTGGACATCCACCAGCGTTAGGTGAGGCATGCAGGCCAGACCTGGGCACTTGTGGGGCATGAAGCTCCTGAGCAGCTGTGCTTGAGGTCTTGGCAGACTCTCCCAGGTTCTCCATGCTGACCTGAGCAGGTCCAAGCTGGAGTTCCCAAGTTTAGGGTCTGCCCAGAACCGTCAACCTTCAGAAAGGTCACATCTTCCCCACAGGGATCCCAGCACATTCCAAGAGTACGTGTGTAAAGGGGAAGGAGAAGAAGAGGACAGGAAGGACAGGGGAGGGGGCTGCCACCTTCCACTGTCACACCACAATGGTGTAGAAATTGGAATAACTTCCCTCAGCAGCTCTCAGTTCCTACATCTTAGTCTCAGGTCATGAGGACAGTCACATCAGTCTCTCAAAAGCACAGGGAAACAGTTTGCCTGGGACCCTGAAGATTACTGATGTCTTGAGGGTACCTATAACACTGTGAATGACTTATGGACTTTCCCTGGGGATAATGATGGCCCCCAGCCAAAGCATGATCCCAGGCTGGAGACCCCAGTGTGGGCTGAGGCTGCTGTCACTTCCGTCCACCCGAGGGAGAAACAGGTCTGTCATGAAGCCACAATCCTCCCTCTGTCCCTCCCTAGGCTTATAATCTGAGTCAAAAGCAGCTCCTGAGAGTCCTGTGACCCAGAAGATTGCCAGTCCGGTAGATTCCAGAGAGCAGGCCCTATGGGACGGGTTCAGAGAGAGTTTATTTTATGATGAGTGTGTCTGTATGTAGAGCACCTGCACCTCTGACCTGGAGGAAACGGGCAGACAGGTGATCACAGTGTCCCAAGGAAGTGACTCAAGTCCTATCTGTCCCCCGCTGACCAGATGTGGCTGCAGGTTCTGTGCCTAGGAACAGGTGGCACTTGGTTCTGTCCCCTTCAGGAACTGATGAGGTTCTCATTATGTGACTGACGAGAACTACAAAACTCTTGGATCCCTAGAAAACAAGTCAGCGGTGAGCTCTCCCCTGTCACCTCTGCAGAACCCAGGATTTCAATCTGTTTTACTGGCCTTTATGGCTTGTATTCCCCATGCTATGAACTTTACCCTCCCTGTTTCTCAAACTAAGAATTAGCTCACAACATGGACACACGGGGAGGAGTCTCCTGAGGAGCTATGCTGATCATTCAGGTCACCAGCACCCCTGCTGTTGCCAGTAACCAGCCCACTTCACTCCTCTAGGTGACTCCCTGTCAGCAGATGTCTCAAACACTTACTTTGAATTATACTTTTGTAGGCTGCTGTGGCTGGTGAATCTGGGGCTTCAACGAAAAAAGACTGGCCTTTGTCACAGCTCTTACCTTAAAGAGACAGAGAAATGAGACCCTTGTGAAAGCCTCACTCTTTATGCTGCCTGGGGCTCCCCACCCAAGGAGAGCAACGCTGGGGAACACAGCAGAGGTCTCAGCTTGTCCCCACCCCCAGAAACCCTGCTTCTACTTTGTTGGTGGCTTGTGGCAAATGTAGATTCCAGGCCCAAAGAACTGTCTCTGCTGCTCTGGGTGGGCCCAGTTGTCTGCATTAGCAATCCACTAACTAGCAGTCCAGGAAAATGAGAACACAGGAAGGGAATGAGGGCTTTCAATAGAGACAGCGAGCGTGTGAGAAAAACTTCAAGGACTAAGAAGGAAATGCTGGCAGTGTGAATGGAGCATCACTCCAGAAACACACATGACTGTGAAAGGCTCCACAGTGCACACACGTGACCGTGACAGGCTCCACAGTGCACACATGTGACCGCGACAGGCCCCACAGTGCACACACGTTACCGTGACAGGCCCCACAGTGCACACACCCTGCCCTCTGCTTTCTCCCATATCATCTCATCTTTATGGTCACCCACACTGGGGTGCATGAGTTGGCTAGTCCTTCCCATGTATAAGCAGGCAGGCATGTGCGCATGCACACACGCACCATCCCAGGACCACATGTAACCCAAGGGAGACATGGCTCTTTGGCTGTGAACCTCCCTTGTGCCCAGGGTCCCATGCTGCTACCTGGCATACACCAGGCCCTGCTCAAACATCCCAGTCCCATCTTCCCTGACAGGAAAGGTAGCTCCCACACTTGGGTGCACAGCCACCTGCAGCTGAGCCCAATCTGGTCCGGCTCCTCCCTCTCAGACTCAGGCACCCCGCACCGCTCCACTGACAGGTGAGTCTTTTCATAGGCACACACCACTCAGACAAGCTCAACTCTGACTTGGGGAAGCTGAGCCCCTGCCTGTTTCCTCTTGCCCACACAAGCTGATATCCTGGGTGAGTCTGGGATGGAGACAGGTGTACACCTCTTCCTCAGCTCTCAGAGTGCAAATATCAGGATCCAAAATACTCAACATGGTCCCCAATAGCATGTCAGTGCCCACTGAAGTGGCGCAGAGAGGGCTGTCTCAGTGCGCTTGCTAGTGACCAAGTGGCCCTATAGTCCTAGGGGCATGTGGCTGGGATTAATGGAGGTGGATCTGAGGAACCTGCCCCAGCCTCACTGCTTCTCTTCTGCGGGTCCAGCTCTGACCACCACTCCTGCTCCTGCAAACCACACTTCAAGCTGCTAAGATGACCGCACAAGCGGCATGGGCCCCAGACTCACCTATGAGTGGATCCAACGGCACTTTGCCCAGGAGAGGGATCTTCAGATCCTGGCACATGGCCTCTGCACCCCCGGTTGTGGGAGGGAAGATCTGAGACTCTTTCTGTGAGGCAGAGAGAGGACGCAGTGTTATTCTGCTTCTGTTTCTTAGGACACACTAGTTTCCAGACGTTGTAAACAGTGGTTTATTTTGGATGTGAAACTCAGGCAGACGAGGGCTTGATGGAGACCCCTCCCTTCCTGACATAGCAGGGAAAACAGAAACCTAGAGACCACCCCTGCCTTTTCCCTACTAGGTCAGGGGCCTGCAGCGGGCCTGCCCCGGGACCCTCACCTTGCATTTGGGGCAGATGAAGCCACTCATGTTCTCCACCACACCGATAATGGGCAGCTTCACCTTGTGGCAGAAGCTGATCTCTTTCCGGACATCCTGGAGGGCCACCTCCTGGCAAAGTTCACAGAGAAGTTATCCCACAGCCTCAGGGCACTGAAAGACACGCGTGTGGTCCAGGGAATGGCTGTGATGCTATAGGTACACCATCAGAGTGCGGGGGAGCATGACCATGGCTTGGTGGTCACTCACCTGAGGGGTGGTGAGGATCACTGCCCCATCAATGTGTGCCGCAGCCAGATACTGGACGACTGAGAGGTGTTCATCGGATGTGCCGGGTGGAGTGTCTACGATGAGGTAGTCAACATCTCCCCAGTCTACATCTCGGAGGAACTGCTTGATCATGCCTGGAAGGGAGCAAGGCTGAGTGTATGCACACATCTCCAGAAGTATCTATCAAACTGCATGAGCATTCCTACATGCCATAGCAGGGGCTCTCAACAAGTGATACTATTGTCCCCAGGCAGCAGGAGGTGAGCTCTGAAGACATGTTGGATGGCCATGATGAAGTCAGGGGTGCTACTATCATTACGTATGGCACAGATATGTTGCCCCAACAGACTCATGTGTCAACAGTGAGAGAAGGTGCTTGTCCCCAGCCATGCTTTCTGCATGACCTTGTTTCCCCTACACTGATCCACCAAGGGGTTTTTACTTCACATTTCCCTCCTGACACAAACCACCCACGTGATACCACACTACAAATAACTTCAGGGTCCTGCAAGTCTCAAGAGCAGAAAAACTCGTGGTAGGTACTACAATGTCTACACTGAAAACTGGTATTTCTCATACCAGATCAGAGCGCTCATATGTAGGATGTCCTGAGTTCCATCCCCATTATCAAAGTAATAGCATCAAACACCACAGTCTCCCTGATAGTCTGGCTATAGACAGAAGAGCAGAGTGACAAACCATTTTTTTTTGGTCCCCTCCAGATGACAGCATCATCAGGGCTGCTGAGCAGGAAACCCACAGACATCACCCCCAGGTTGTCCTCCACGTACTGCAGAGGAATGGGGATAAAGGGAAGAAACATTTGCTTGTGGGGAACAAGAGCACAACACATCTACATAAACCATGTGGGTACTTCCCAGGGAACCTGGTTGAAAAGAACAAACATTAAAGGTGTCACGTGCCGCACACTACACTTGCTCTTTGCAGCCTAGGAGGCCATCGTGAGACCCACAAGAGGCCATGTGTGGCCCATGCCTCAACGACAGGCCAGTGAAGCTAAAACAAACACCATCCCCTCCGGGGTCTAACTGAATGAGTAGAGCTCTCACAATCTGGTCTTGGAGGTGAGGTTTGACTGGGACACACTATCATTCAGTGCACAATACCACTTTGGAGTCATGGAACCAGAGGCACTGGTCCATTGGGCCCATTATAGACAAGGTCCACCAGGCTTTGATTCTACCTGCGTGCCTGGAAAACAGCCTCAGTAAACGTGCAAGTTGAGCACTATTTTGCCAACCCCACCTCCATCAGATACACCTCACTCACACAACCCGCCTCCCCAGGGAGGCTAACTCACCACTGGAGACCAGCCGGAGCCGCTCTGGTGAACCTGTGGGAACATGGCAGTCGTTCTTGTCACTACACTCTGGTCTGAAGAGGATGGCTTCACAGTGAGTCACCACCCTGTACTCCACCACTCAATAAAAAAAGTTTTGCAATTACATTTATTTAGTGTGTGTGTGTGCCTGTGTTTCATGACTGCACATGCAGAAGTCAAAGGACAACAACCTTCAGGAGTCTCCTTCCAGTATGTGGATCCTCCACTCTCTGCTGAAGCCAACCCCTCTCCTGCTTTAGCCTCCTGTTCTCTGCCCTCCCCCATGTGGATTTTTTGCCTTGTTTGACACTTTCTCTCTAGAATAGAGAACCTGGAGTTAAGGAAACAGCGTTGCAGCCTGAGCCCTGGCCTGGCTTCTGCACACCACCAGGGGTCCTTCCTGAACGAGGGCAGTAGCAGACATCCCTACTGGCATGTTTCTCACCAATCCCGCAATCGGGGTCTAAGCTTCCAAGAGGAGACCATGGCTCTGAGAGATTCTCTAGCTTCCAGAACAGACCAAGCAAACACTAGCCCCGAGTTCCTGCTCAGAGCTAAATTTCCATCTCTCATTCTGCCTCCTGCTTGCTGCTTCCCTCCCACACCATGAAAGGCTTCCCATAGATGTGGATGCACTTTGTATGTAATCCCAAACCCCCAAATCCACAGCTACTGAGGAGGAACAGAGGGCTACTGCACATGCTTGCCCAAAGAGAACCAGTCCAGTTCTCTGACAGCCATCACCTGCTCTCCTTCTAAGCCCATGATCTTGGGAATGGACGGCCCACAGATATCAATGTCCAGAAGGGCGACCTGGGAATGAGAAGAGACAGCATCACTGACTGCTTAGACCCTCGAGATATGCATACTAAGACAGGACACAGACATGGGCAACACACCAAAACAGATGGCTAAGTGCTCACTTTCTCGTGGGAAAGGTATAACGTGGCCCTTCCAGGCCACCGATACAGTATAACTCCTAGGGTAAGTCATCCATGCAGTCCCCAGTGTGGAACAGGGTAATCTCACAGCAGGTCATTAAGTCACTCAGATGACTCAGAGATTCAGAGAGATCTGGGGATTTGTTCAATGAGTAAGGAACAGAGACTGGACAGTGTCAAAGTTTCTGATGCCAGCGCTCTTAGCGTGACACTCTCAGGCCTACCGAGGACGAGAGGAGGACTCAGTGGATTCTGGCTGATCTCTAGGCAAGCCCCATTTTCCTAGGACCAAGCTGAAAACAAACTTTCAAAAGAGCCTTAAAATGAGAAAGATCCTGGAGAGATGGCTCGGACACTGAGACCAGCTGCTCTTCAACAGAGCCTGATTCACGGCATCCACGCTGAGTGGCTCAAGACCATCTCCAACTCCAGTTTCAGGGAGACCTGGAGCCCCCTTCTGGCCTCTACAGGCACTGCACTCATGCACACACACCCCAAACATCCTTTTAATTTTGTGTGGGTATCTTGCTTTTGTGTATGTCTGTGCACCACATGCATGCCTGGTTCATGAAGGCCAAAGAGGCCATCAGATCCCCTGGGACTGGAGTTATACACGGTTGTGAGTTGCCATACGGGAGATAAGAATTGAACCCAGGCTCTCTAAAAGGGCAATCAGTTCCCAATACCCACACTGGGCAGCTTAAAATTGCCTGTAACTCCAGTTCCAAGGCTATCCAACACCTTTCTCTGGCCTCTCTAGGCACATGCACACGTGGCACTAACACAGATACACATACACTGTTCATCTTAAGAACTGATGGTCTGGGAACTTTGGAACTTGCCCCGTGCTCTTTCTTCCAGCTCTAGTCCTACTTCCCCTAGAGCTGGCTAACTGTGGTACTGGTGATGAAGAGGAGGAAGAGAACCTCACCACTAAGATCCCTGCCCAAAAGTGCAGCAGAGGGACATCTGCCACCGAGGATGGGACCTGGGTCTGTGACACGGGAAAGCAGAGATCCTCCGCCACCCTAGCAGCTCTCCAGCTACCTGGCTCACCTGCTCCTTCTGGGAAAGAACTGCCCCACAAGTCAGGATAAGGAACTCAGCCAAGTGACACCAGGATGCAATTCCCAGACTGACAGTCACCCCACTGTCCAGGAAGGCTGTGACAAGCTCTGTGCAGGTCTCCCTGAGGTGCTCCCTATGGCAGACGGTACCCGGGTCATCATCCCTCTCCTGCTTAGGTCAGGCTAGTGACTGCCACTGAGAGCCAGGGCTCTGTCTCTACTCAGGTCCTCCCAGGAGTCCCTCGGAAGGTAAGGGCGGAGTGGAGGTGCTGTGCAGTGTCAACTCTGCCCCCCTTAAAATGTCAACTTTCTTCCCTAACAAGGTCCTGACTCACTTCACAAGAAGGCTTTCCCAGTCTTGCCTACCACCAGAACTTCTGGCCTGGGAAATGAAGAGTTTGAGAGTCAAGGCACCTCCAGCCGGGGAGCCTATAACCTCAGGGAGGGTCTCAGGTGCTTCCTCGCACCCTGAACTGACAGCACCGATGCTGTTCACCTTTGTCCACGGTGCCCAAGCTCATCCACGGGACTTTACAGGAGCTGAACACACGCACTGGAAGGTAGCATGTGAGAGGCCCCTGGCCTGGCCTACAAAGGCTCCTCCTTCATTTACATACACCTTCCTTCCTCTGCCTGGGGGCAGTGTGTGTCTGCATGCACAGAAGCACATATACACGTCTGGGTGAATTCCACTTCTGTTGTCTTTACCCTAGATCTTTCCCAAACAAGATGGCGAACAGCAACTTGGAGCAGACTGGGTCACAGAGGGCAACCTGATGGCTGGAGAAACTGCACTGCTGATGCTCACCAACAGCTCCACCAGTCTGACCACATCTACATGTGCACGGAGGACGGCCCTGCGGTCACTGCCGTGACACTACCCAGAGAACGCAGGCTTTCCCACAGCTGCCTTCAGTTTTGAGACAGTCTCACTTTGTAGCACAGGCTGGCCTGGAACTCCTGGCAATCCTCTCAAGAGCCAAGACTACAGGTGTGAGCCAGCCCGCCCAGATCACCATCTTTTTTAAAAACTGTAACAGCATAAAGAGACCCAGCTTGCCAGTCTCCACACTGGGCGGCAGACTGACCCAGCTTGCCAGTCTTGTCTCCACACTGGGCGGCAGACTGAAGTCTTGACCAGGATGTAGTGAGAACACTCGTGTGGAAGGAAGGCGTGCGAACACAGCTCCCCACACCTGGCTAGGCAGAGGCCGCCACACAGTGGCCTAAGAAAATTTCAACAGCTCAAGAGCCGAAGCTTCTCCTGGCCAATACACCTCAATTCCTGTTGTTGTTAGAACCCTTTCTGCTTCTCAGACAAACGCTCCACCACTGTGCTCCAGCCCCAGCCCCCTGTGGAAAACACAGACAATGGGATCAAAAAGATTGCCCTGTACAGGTGAAGAAAATCTGACCCTTTGGTGGCAAGACACAGAACATTTAACTTGCCCTGGATGGCAGCCAATTGTTGCGATGATGAGGATGCTGTGGGACATTTCCAGGACACTGACTGTGGGAGGACTGGTACGACCTCTCACCCAGGCCTCTGTGCCCATCTCACAGAAGGGAAAATGGAGGCAGAGTGAGCACCCTTTATTAAAGCCAGCATCCAGCAAGGTACTGAGGATTTGAGTTAGTTGTCTGTTTTGAGACAGGGTCTCACTCTGTAGCCATGGCTAGCCTTGAATTCAAAATCTCCTGCCCCAGGCTCCAAAATGGTGGGACTTACAAGCGTGTGTCACATGGGCGGTGAGGTGACTCCAATTCCATGCCTGTCTGTACACTTGAGATGAGGGACCTAGCACACAGGTCATTTTTACAAGAAGCAAATAAAAAATGTTTTCTGTTTTATGGACAAAGACAAGAGTAATATTTAGGTGCTTATGTGACTTGAGAAGTAACCATCTAAATATGTAAATACCACTCTTAGCTCACAGGAGGTGGACCAAACTACAGCTCAGGATCTGGACTTGAAGAGCACAGAAGGAGCTTCATGAGGGGCAGGTGTAAAGGGCCGAGTGTGACATCACCGGAATGTGAGGAGCCATGCTGCCAGCTGCCTCTGGGTTAGAGGACCCAGTGAAACAGCCCGCAGTGGTCAGGCAGGGCCTCATTCTCTCTGCTGGATCAAGACAGTCAGAGGGGTTGGCTCCCTGGAGACTGAGAACCAGCCCTAAGCCATCAGGACCTCTGACACAAGCACACCTCCCAGCATAGCCCAGGGTCCCACCTGTGTGTCTCCATCCTCTGCCAGGCCGTGGGCGAGGTGGGCGCTGAACGTGCTTTTCCCAACACCACCTTTCCCAGACAGCACCAAGATTCTGTGTTTCACCGTCTTCATTTTCTCTTTGATTTCCTCCACGGCTGCAAAGAAGCAGTTGAGGTGATGCTATCCCTGCCTAGATTCTGAGTGTCCTTCTTCCAAAGGCTGGAAGAATCACACTCTTTAAGCTGTTTCTAAGGCTCCTTGTGAGATATCACTTCAGCATAATACTAATAAATGCTAGGAAGAAAATATGGCCACTATCATGCCTAAAATGATCTTGTACCATTTATACATTGCCTCATCTACTAGAACATGGGCTCCCAGGAGGGTACGGTGTTCAAACTCCCAGTAAAGCCTTATAACCTAGGAGGTGTTGGGGAATATTATTTTAAGGTGTATTACTTTGCTTATGTTGCATTTGTTTAACTCTACAAAGCTGCATTACTGTGCCTGTCTAAAACACCCGATGGTCTAATAAAGAGATGAACAGCCAATAGCGAGGCAGGGGAGAGAAATAGGTGGGGCTGGCAGGCAGAAAGGATAAATATGAGAAGAAATTTGGATGAAAAAGAGTCTGGGAATGAAAGAGGAAGGAGGAGGATTTCTTCAGGGGCCAGTCACCCAGCCACACAGCCAGAAATTGAGTAAGAAGGAAAGAAAAGGTATACAAGAATAGAGAAAGATAAAAGCCCCAAGGCCAAAGATAGATGGGATAATTTAGTTTAAGGAAAGCTGGCAAAAATCAAGCCAAGCTAAGGTCAGAGATATTTATTCCTATCTAAGAATGAGCCTCCGTATGTGATTCATACGTATGTGGTGAGCCCCCAGAGTCCAAGGAGCTAATGAGCAAAAACAACCAACAAGGGAACATCTGTCACCATTTGCAGAAACTCTTTGGATGTCACAAGGAGGGACTACTGGTGGCATGTAGGATGATGCTGGGTGTCTGAAGCACAGGACAGCCCCAAACGTCACTAGTGCTAAGGACAAGAAATCCTGACAGACAGGCTCACAGTAAGCACCCATCCCAACAACTCACTGTGCTTCCAACACCTCATCTTTTCCAAATCCTTAAAAACTACACGGTGGGCTAACTACTCTTTACGATAAGGCAATCAGAAATCTTGTTTGAGGTCAGTTTGCCTTCTCCCAGCTTCCTGTTTTCTGAGCCCCTTCTAGGCAGGACCTCACTCCTCCTCAGCCTGGAGCTGGTCCTGCCGGGCACTTATCCCTGAAGGGTTTAATTTGTTTGCTCCTGCTTCTCTCCCGACTGTGGCCTCATTCTCACAGCTGCCCCTTCACTCAGACAATGAACATTCATTTCTGCTGAGTGATGGACTCAGTATATTCTCCATCCCAGAGCCTCAGAGATCTGTGACAGACACATGCCAGGAAGTAGCCTAGAAAGACCCCAACATTTATCCACTCTCCCTGTGCCTGGCCTTGTGAATACTGAGGTCAGTGGCTGTCACTCAACCCCTAGCCCTGTCCTATATCACTTTTTCCTATTCTATACTTCTTTTAAGTCCTATTTAGTTACTGAATTTTGTTTTTCTGAGATAGGGTCTCATCTAAGCGCAAGCTAGCCTCTAACTCACTAGATAATCAAGGGTGGCTTTGTTTTTTTGTATACACTGTGCCAAAATAAACTTTTTTTATTGAGCTATATATTTTTCTCCGTACCCCCATCAAGGGTGACTCTGAACTCCTGATTCTCTTCTAAAAGAGAAAACATCTTAAGTTGTGATATTAACAAGCATGTGCCAACACCCTCGGCCTAATGTTCACTCAGAGTCTTATTGTATAGCCCAGGCTTGCTTCTAACTTGTGGCCATTCTGCTTCTATCCCCAGGGTGCTGGGGGGAAAAGCCTGAGGCACCAAGCTGACTCTAATACCCCGTCTGGTCCCCTGACTATCACAGGTCAGACTCAGTCTCCATTTCCACGACTTTCCTCCGCTACTTGACCTTTAAAGCCGCCCCTCGCTCCTCAAGCTCCGCCTACCACGCCAAGCCCCCTGAACCACAGACAATTCGGTCTACTAGTCGCTGTCATTTATCCTTCAAGTCCCGCCCCTTCCACTTCCTGCTCCGTCGGCCTCCTCACCCGGGTCCGGTGCGGCGCCGGCGCCCGACGCACACAGCCTCTGGTTGGGGCATCCCTGGCACGAGGCTCCTCGGCCCGCCTGGGCGCTGTCGGCTCCGGGGCAGCCTGCACGGGGACAAGAGCACAGTCAGAGCGGCTCGGTCCCAGCGGCCCGCCACCCACGCGTGCCGCTCCAGCTCACCGTGGGGCGCCTCCTCCATGCTGTCGCTCTTGCCGGGGCTGCGCCCTCCGGAAGTCCAGGATCGTGCTTCCGCCTCGCGGGTCCAATCTGACCCTTCGGCCGCCTGAACTGTCTCGCCAGACTGGGACTGCGCACGCGCAAAACACTCTGCGCAGTGGGTGGGGCTCCGATTTCGTTTACCTCCAAAATTGAGCTGAGATGGTCGAGTAGTACGGCGTCTGAGCAGGTGAGGTGACTCTACGAGTAAAGACGCTTGTAGAGCAAGTCTGAAGGCTTGCGTTCGATTCCCAGAACTCACGTGCTGGAAAGGGAATGGGCTCTTGAAAGCGGTCCTCTGACAAGTGCACAAAAATAAGTTTTTTTTAAAAAAAGTATGACTTCTGTCAAAGAAGCTTACGCTCCATGACCTCAGTGTTGAGACTAGTAAAAGTACAATTTGTAAATCTTAAAAAAAAAAAAAAGAAAGAAAGAAAAGAAAAGAAAAAAAGTCTGAATGCTGGATCGTTGACTCAAAGGTTAAGAACTCTGGTTACTCTTCCAGAGGTCCAGAGTACAATTCCCAACAATTGCTTGGTGGCTCACAGCCATCTATAATGAAATCTGGTGCCCTTTTCTGGCGTACAGGTAGAATACTGTATACATAATAACTTTTTAAAACAAACAAAAACCACTACAATTACGTCTCGATATTTACTTTTACTTTTCAAATAATCTGCCCTTCTTAGATTCCCTTGCAGGCTGGTACCGTGGCTCAATCGGTAGAGTGTTTGATCTATCATACTTGAGAGCCTTTATTCTGTCTCCAGCACTATAAAAACAAAACAAGCACTTCCTCCTCCCCCTCCCTCTCTTTCTCTCTTTTGTAGCCCAGGCTGACTTTGAATTAAAGATTTTCTTGCCACTCTTGATCAAGAGGTGAGACTTTATTTACAAAGCAGTATAGCGCAGTGGTAGAGTACCTGTCTAGCAAGTGAGAAACCATAAATTCAATCCTCAGCAGGGCAAGGTCTCATTGGTCCTCCTGCCTCTACTAGCTGCTGCGGTTACAGATGTGCACCACCACTCCTGGCTCCTAGGCTAAAAAATAAATAAATAAATAAATAAAAAGACACTCTTAAAACCTCTATGCTGTTAATAATTTGTTCAGTGTTTTGTTGCTTTCCCTCCAGATTTGTTCAAACCTCTTCAAACCCACTCCTATGTCCTTTGGTTGCTAACCCCGGTTTCTGGGAGCTTTTCCTAGCTTTCTCTCATGCCCATGCTCCCACTGCTGCTGCTGCAACCATCCCTCTGGGAGCCTGGCTGCTTCACAGCCATGGGTGCCCATGGGGGCACTGCTATATGCAGTTTGGGCACAAGGTGGTAGTCGTTGTTTTAGTTGAGGGATTCTAAACTCTTTTTCATTTATTTTTGAAGTTATAATTGTTATCATTTTGCTGACACCACCCCCTTCCCGCCAAGGCAAGCTGATCTCGGGCTTTCTCTCCTCCAAACTCTCTCTTTGCTCGTCCTTCTTCTGAAGAGATAACTACTGCCTTTCTCCCTTCTCCCCTTCCCCACTTCTTTCTTCTCTCCCCCTCTCCTCTTTCTCTGTCCCCCCTTCTCCCCTCCCCTCCATAACCCTTACCCTTATGCCATTCCCAATACCCACTAAATAAACACTTCACCCAAGCTCTCTCCACAGAGTGTATCTGTCTCCCACCTGCCAGGGGACCTGCCAAGGTTTGCATTTTTGTGAGGATTATGTTAGTTTAGTAAAGCAGTGGTTGTAGGTTCTCCTCTAAGATCATGACGTCACTAGCATTCAGTCGCTGGTTAGGTTTCCAGTAGCAGGTATGGGCCCCATCTTGTTGAGTGAGCCTTAGCTCCAATTAGAGGACCGTTACTTACTGCTAGTGTATGCATTGACACAAGTTTTAATGGAAGCACAAATTCCGCCTGCCCAGACACTGAGAATATCAAAACACATTTTATCAATAGCCTATCCCTACCTTTAGGCCCAGATCCAGGGCTATGAGCTAACCCATCTCAACCTCCACCCCATCTGTGATCTTGTAGCATGTGAAGGGTTGGATCTACAGACCCAAAGGTGCAGATTTCTGTGACACAGGACAACAACAAGATGTCCATGAGGAGTCCCACTGAGGGCCCAGTGTCGATAGTGTAGCAGAAACCAGAGGTCTCAGACCAGACCAATGACTCTGCAATGAACACATGCAAGTAAAGATGTCAGGACTAAAGGGTGCACTGTGTGACTCACTGTGTCACACTGCAGCTTCCATGATGAGATTCTTCTTACTTTTTTTCTTTTACATTTTATTCTATATTGCCTTGGTGGAGAGGTTGTAAGGGAGAGGGCAGATACAAAGGAAGGATCAGGGAGATGAATAGGATTGAGATCCACGATATGAAATCCACAAAGAATTAATAAAAAGTTAGATTAGAAAGAAAAAGGTGTGTGCCACCCTACCTGGCAAGTTTAATTATCTTAACACCAGTTTCCTCATTAAAAACAGAGGCAGAGTGCTAGTATCCTGGCGCCCCTTGGAAACCTGGCAGAGTCACCCCTCTGCATATGACAAGCAGGTGCCAGTGTCCTTTTAAGAGACAAGCTCCACCCACTCTCAACTTCTCTCTTCCCACGGTCTCTACCTGCACTGGGACCTGCCAGGGTCCAACTTTTGTTGTTTACACAGCAGGAATTGTAGGACCCAGCCAGGGCAAGCTCAATAGAGGCCTGAGTCTCAGTAGTTTATCCTAAGGCAATACCTGGTTCTGAAAAAGAACACAAACTGAGACCACCCAGGAACAGACAGTCCAAAGGAAATTCGTAACGTTCTAGCCATTGTAGTTAGGATCACCTGCCCGCAAATACCCATTGCTTTTCACCAGGACACCCCTAGACAAAGGTCAACCAATCAAGATTGAACCCTACACCCTGCTTATGTAACTTTTCTGGTTTTTGCCTTTAAATAGTGCCTTCTAGAAGGGCGGGGTACCTCTTGCTGCTGTGCTGACGAGGTTCCTGCCGGCTTACAATGCACACACAATAAACCTTGCTTTCGCATTTCAGTGAGTTAGTCTCCCTAGTTGTCTTTTGGGGTCCCCACGGACTGGGCATAACAGAACCAGAATATATGATTGCTGACAGACACATATGAAATTCACATAAAAGCTTACATCCAACAGCCAGCAAACCTATGTTCATTAAAATGCTGGTAATGGTAGGAATAGGCTATTGATAAAATGGGCTTTTATACCCTTAGTGCCTGAGCAGGCTGAAGGTAACCCAGACTCTATTGCCAGTTCCAAGCTAGCCAGGGTGTCGCAAAATTGTCTCAAAACAAAACAAAAGGGCTGGAGAGAGGATATTAGGAGCACTTGCTCCTCTTTCAGAAGACTGGTCTGTTCCCAGCACCTTTGTCAGGCAGCTCACAACTGCCTATGATTCCAGCTCCATGGGGTCCATTCCCCTCTGCTAACCTCCATGGACACACACACACACACACACACACACACAAACACACACACTTACGTCACACATACATTCAAATAAATATAAAATACTCAAGTCCAGGGCAAGTCTCACTCAGTCCCTGCAGCTCCTCTCCGTACTTCTCTTCCCACCCCTCCCCCAAACCTCTCCAGGCCAGAGGCTGATCTTTACTTCTCTTCCCCAGCTTCAGATTCCTATAGAACTTAGCCATTTTGGCTACAAGCTCTTGGTTCCCACGCACTCTCTTGGTCCTCTTGCCCCCATCTCTCTTCTCTCCCCCTCCCCTCGTGGTCAGGTTCAATGTGGAAACTTCCAGATGCCTCTTGGCTGTACTCTCCCTCATATCTACAATAAAACCCTTCTCCTCAACCATAATTAGGAGTGGTCATGTCCTCATTTTCATTCAAACACAACAAAACAAACTTACTCCCTTAGGTCACAAGGCTAACAGGGTCACTGATGTGGGATTCCCCTCTGTATGTTGTGAATACCATTGGTTAATAAAGAAACTGTCTTGGACCTGTGCAGGGAATAGAAGTAGGTGGGGAAAACTAAACTAAATGCTGGGGAAAAATAAGGTGGAGTCAAGGAGAAGCCATTGCGCCGCCACTAGAGACAGAGGTGCTGAAACTTTGCTGGTAGGCCACAACCTCGTGAAACACACCCTGGATTTAAGACCTGACCCAGGGAAAGAAACATCTTTATCCCTGAGCCCAGGGCCAAAGAAATATGCCCTGACTCTGAAACTAGTGTCAAAGAAACACACTTTGTCCCTAGAAACAGAACCAGTGAAAGAAACACGCCCTGGTCCTAATATTAGAGTCAAAAAGCTAAAAAAGACCAGTGAAAGAAACACAGTTTGGCCATGAAATCAGTGCCATCTCTGTCCCTGACCAACTAAACTAACCAATCCCTGAGCAGAAAAAACTAACCAATCCCTTTTCTCCCTGGGAAAACTCCACCCCTAAGAAGCCCTATTTCTCTGCTTATTTCCCTAGAGGCTGCTGTCTATTCATTTATCCCTCCCTGGTAGGGGCAGCCAACTCTCCTGGACTCCTCCTTCCCAAATAAATCTTTCTCAAGAGTCTTGGGTGATGATCTTCTTTTGCTGCGCAGAATAGAAGAACCTGGCTGGGACAACTCTTAGGGGACTGTGCTAAAAAAAACTTGTTGAGACATTCCCTTAGGGGGGCTGAGCAAGGTGGAACAGAATAGAACGGGAACTTGGCCATTCTCTAGGGGTGACTGAGCAAGGAAGTAACAACTTTTTGCTGGAGCAGAAGCAGGATCTGCAACTGTGGCTACATTTCTGCAGGGGCTTCCTTTTTCGCAAAAGAAGTAACAGCTTGGGCTGGAGAAGAAGAGAGCTCTGCTAGGATGTTCTCTTAGGAGAACAGAGCAGCACTCAGCTGTAGCTGGTCTCCAGGAGAATGGCAGGATTGTTATATCCTGCGGGGAGACCATCCCCCACCGCAAGTCAGCATCAGGGAGCCTGGCTTTTCCATAAGTCAGGACACCTTCCCCCCAGAGCTGAGATGTCCTATTTCTGCTCCAGCCTCTAGAGCTGGCCCATTGAGGCTCCACCCCTGCAGAGCTGTCTGTCCAGATAAGTCA